AGGGCCAGATTAGATTCATGTAGCAAGAGAAGGTGGAGTTAGGAATGTGACAGTGGACAGAAGTTAGCGGGAGAGGAAAAGAGAGCGGAATCAAGGATGACCTCAAGGTTCCAAGCGTAAGTATTAGGGGATTGTCTGAGTACAGAGAGCAATGCATGCATTGACTGCCAACTCCCTTTCTTAGCTGTGTCACTTTGGCTGTGTCACTTTGTTCCTCTGAGTCTCTGCCCATTTGTTACCTGGCATGGACAGTCCCTGTTCTTCCTGCCTCATGGGGCTCTTTGAGAGTGAAATGAGAAAGAGCAGTGGCAAGCCCTAAGAAAACAGGCACAAACACTGCATCTTTGAAGGCTGGCTAAGGGAGTGCAAGGAGAGGAGGGGGTTCTGACTTCCTTCAATAACCAGGAGCCACTCAAAACTCACACTGCACACACTGTCATGGGTTTGTGATTGTCACCTGCTAAGCAGATTTTTGCTTTCTCAGCTGTTCTGCTTCTAGGGATCTAGTTCCATGGTCTGTTGAGCAAGACGACGCTGGTTCTGGATTGGAAGGAAGGGCTTTGCCTAATCTTTGCAGCGTTCTTACCACCAGTAGTGACCCCTGCTTGGGGGCACTAAAGGCTACTGGGATTTCCTTACTGAGCTCAGTCCCCCAGCCTTATCACCTGCCATACCCCATGGGCATTTCGGAAGTAATGCATCCAAAATGGTGCTTTTGACTTCCGTCCTTAACTGGAGTTTCAGAGGCGTGACTGGCCTTGCTTGCCTGTGACAGAGAGTGTGAAACTTCCCAGCTCACAATGGGCTGTTTACCTGAGTAGGCAGAATCCCTCCAAATGGGATATTGCACCATGGAGGAGTCCCTTTACCTTTCTGGACAAATGGACTCTTAGCTCTTCATGTCATATTTCCTCATTATTCAGAAAGTATGCAACCATGCTTTTGGGATTTCATTGTGCAACTCTTATTTTAGCAGTGAATTGTTGAGCCATGGGAGATTTTAAGCTTGTCTATGCAAGTTCCAGGGCAAATCATTGACTACTTGGTACAGAAGAAAGAGTCAGGCAGCCTGACTGTTCGCGGTGCGTCTGCCAATAACCTGCTAGTAGCTTGGGGCAAGGAACGTAAGCTCTCCCCTCAGTCTCCCTATCAGTAGAATAAGTGGGGACCACCCAGGCTCTGAAAGATGGAGCACTTGTGTAAAAATTAGCAACAGAGCCAACTGGAAGTAAGAGTGTGGAATTACCGTCATGGCCATATTGCAACTGACTCAGCATATTTCAAAAATGTAAAATTGAGCCAATGAACATACATTTGGTATTAACCAAACTGCTGGAGGCACTTATATAAAACAAACCTCTTTATTAATCTTTAAAAAGAGAGAGATTCTTTTGTCGACACTGTTGGGATGCAATGAACGCGCTTGCTTTGTCTTTGGATCCCATCAGTTTTCTAATAAGAAAAGCCCATTCCTTCACAAGGGGGAAGTTCTGATACATGTCTGCCTGGGCTGATATGTGATGGAAAGGCAAGGAAACGTGGTAGAGGCTCCGCTCATCTCTGGCGGTTAAGAAAGGTCACCTCCGGGCAAGGAGGACTTCAGAGTGTAATACATATTTCCAAAGGGAAATGCTTGCAAAATGCAAATGCTGATCCCAATTCTGCCCTTTGCGACTGGTGCCAGCCGCTGCACTGGCACCTTTGTTGAGACACAGGGAAAAGCCAAGAAGTGAAATGATATTTCCCTCCCCTCATCATTACTCAGCATGGCTTACTTGCTTAGCTATAAAGAATTCAAGCGTCAAGAGAAACTGCAGTGCAGTTTTCTTATCCAAAAATGCATTCTCCCTTCTGTCCAAGAGGCCCACTGTGCTCCAATCTTGTTTCTAAAGAGGATGGCCTCATGGACCGCTTTCTTCACTCTAACATTTCTGGAACTTGCTTATCCATACTGTCTGAATTTTAAAGGGAAATAGTTCTTAAACTATAGTATGCATAGGGATTATCTGAGGAGGGTGTCTGGGTGGTTCTGTTGGTTAAGCCTCTGCGTTTGGCTCAGGTCACGATCCCAGGGTCCTGGGATGGAGCCCCATGTGGGGAATCCCTGCTCAGTGGGGAGTCTGCTTCTGCTGCTCTCTCTGCCCCTCCCTCTGCTCTGCCCGCCCCCTCGGTCTGCACTCACTCTCTCTCAAATAAATAAAATCTTTAAAAAAAAAATCATTTGGGGAGCTTACGAAAATGATAGAACCCTGTTTCCCACCCCAGGTTGAGTGGGGCTGAGGAATCGGCATTTTTCATCTGTGGCACAGGGGTTCGGATTCGGGGCTCCACGGAACTGCTTTGGGGAGTACCACTGGGTGCCAGGCCACCAGCGATACTTCATGACACACTCTGTTCCCTTTGCCAGTCAAGTCCTAGCTGTTGCTCTTAGAACTACACTGGAGCTGGGCTCAGTCAACTGTTGCCTGACTCATAACAGTCTGTGACTCAGACAGACAGCATGCGAGAAGTGTAAGTTTGGGAGTCAGAAGGGGAGATCTTCAAGCTCCCACTTACCATTACTCGGGTAGGTTGCTCAAGAAATTTTTCTATTTACTTATCTGTCAAATGGGAACAATATAACCCACACCCCTGAGAGGGGGAAGTGGTGGTGAGGAGAGGATAGAATGACTTACCGGTAAGCCCTTAGCGCCATGCCTGGCATTTAATAGGTAGAAGCTCAATAAATATCACTTTCCTCCAGTCTCATAGGAAGCAGGAATTCACTTCAAAACAAAACAAAACAAAACAAAAAGCAAAAAACAACTCGTATTCTCCTCTAGCACTTGAAGCAGATACTGTTAAGATAAACTTTTTTTCTAAAGATTTATGTACTGGGGCACTTGGGTGGCTCAGATGGTTAAGCATCTGCCTTCAGCTCAGGCCAGGATCCCAAGTTCCTGGGTGCAGTCCCCGCCCTGCTTCTCCCTCTCCCCTTGCTACTCTCCCTGCTTGTGCTCTTTGGCTCTCTCTCTCAAATAAATAAATAAAATCCTTTTTTTAAAAGATCTCTCAAAAGATCTTTTAAAAAAGGATTTTATTTATTTGAGAGAGAGAGTGAGAGAGCACATGCACATGGGATGGGGGGCAGAGGGAAAGGGAGAGAGAGACCCTCAAGCAGACTCCCCACTGAGCGCAGAGCCTGACTCAGGGCTCGATCCCAGGACCCTGAGATCATGACCTGGGCCGAAACCTAGAGTCAGATGCTTAACTTAGCCACCTAGGTGCCCCAAGACACACTTTTTCTTTTTAACACCCAGGTGAATAGATTTGGAGCCTCGTTACACATCTCTTTAAAAGTCAGTGGGTTTTTTTAGCTGTCTTGAAAGGATGCCCCTTCTTAGTTCCTTCAGGTAATACTGACTACTGTATAAGTACATGTTTCCAAGAGCGGTCCCAGGGGTCAGGTAAGGAAATGCAGCTGTGTCACAGTGTTGGTACCTTGGGTGGACTCTCCCCGGGGCCAGCACAGAGAATTTGGATCAGGTGCTTAACCCGAAACCACACCTGCTCCTAGTCAAAATCTCACAAGGACCACCTTGTTGCTCCGAATTTAGCTAGTAATGGATTATTTGGACTGGGTTGTTCAAACTCTTTTCAGATGAGATGGGAACATTACAGGGTCCGAAAGAAACAATGCACCATTGTGCCAGCGGGTGCCTTGCTGGAACGGGCTTTCTAAATTGAGTCTCAGCATATCACCCCACATCTCCCCTCAGTCCAACCTGGTTTTAGTGTTGCAGGGGAAAAATCATCTTTGTTCTTTGTGTTGGTTGATTAATTTTAGGTTCACTGTTCTTATCCCATCTCTTGCTCATGTGGATGCTTATGTAATACATTTCTGTATATCACATGGTCCTCCTCCTGAGGACCCAAATCAGGGGAGGAAAAAAAAAAAAGATAGCACAAAGTGCCTATCTGCATTCTCTGGCTGGAGGAATTGCAAGTTAAACAAAGGCCTTTGTCAGCTTAAAGCCACAGTGTCCTCTCCCAGCTTTCTCTCTCTCTCTCTCTCTTTTTTTTTTTTAACAGGTTATTTTTATTTTATTATTTATTTATTTATTTATTTATTTATTTTTTTGCTCTTTTATAAAGGAAAGGCTGTAAATCCTATCCCTGGGGCAGGTGGTCACAAAAACTCCCATTTTCTGAAGGCTGACCTCTGGAAACTGGAGAAAATAAGGCCAGTAAGCCCCGTCCTATGATTTTAGAGCCTGATCCAACCCCTTTATTTTACAGGAAACAAAGCTGAGGTTCAGAGAGACCCGTGTAGTTATTAGGAACTTCTTAAAAAAACTTCGTGCCCACATTGCGTGTATGAGGGGACGTGCACACAACACGAGCCTGGTCACGGGCCTCCAGCTGGTTATGGGAGTTGCCAAATGAGGACCACGGGCAGCTTTCTGGTAGACCAGACGAGCCTCTAGCCAGGGCATGCTACCTAATGAGTAAAGATGCATTTGCTGAGCTCCTTTGGTGCCAGAGGCTTCTGCTGTGTTCTGAGGAGCTGGGAAGAAAATGGGGAGAAATATATGAACTTTAAGAAATTTCCCCCAGCCTTGACGAGCTTACAGTCTTCTGTGATCTCCTTACTGATAGGTGTTTCTAAACCAAGATAAAGACATATTACAAATACATATTATAAAATATTGAACCAAACAGTGTTATGTAGCCAGTGGCTCAGTTTTGTAGTCCTAGAGAAATCTGGGAGGAAGAAAGAGGGTTGCTGGCTCCCAGAGGAGCGAGCCTAGTGTTTTCCCCCACTGGACGGTTAAAGCCACAATTCTCTTGTTTTTTCTGTGTATCCTCATGCTTATGGCGCAGAAAAAGATCTCAATTCATCCTTCCTGAATCAACGTGTGGTTCATTGGATAACATAATTATGGGGCTATTTCTGTACACCCATAATAACCCCTTCTGTAAGAATGCTTTCTACTCACATGGGTCTTTTTTTTTTCCAGTGGCCCACCCTCAGGACCCTCACCACCCATCGGAGAAGCCTGTCATTCACTGCCATAAATGTGGGGAGCCATGCAAGGGGGAAGTACTTCGGGTCCAGACCAAACATTTCCACATCAAATGTTTCACCTGCAAAGGTATGGTGCCTCCAGCTTCTTGGTCTCATGGCGTGTCAGTCTGTGCTCACCTCGGGGTCCGTCCCTTTAACCCCATGCCAGGCCACCAGGTGATAAGTGAATTTGGTAAGAGGCCCTGGCATAATTTCCCTTCTCTAGTTTGGGTGAGATTAGACTCAAGGGGGAGGCTTGTCCCCTGAAGACTAATGGTCTATAAGGCTTTCTGTTTATTGAAGGTCCTGATCCTGGGAGGAGTGAGAGCCGTAAAAACCCACTTTTGTGTTTTGTGATTTATATTTATTTTCCCCCTGAAATAAGGGACTCTTATCCCAAAGTCACCTTGTCCCAGTAGCCATTATTTATAGAAGAGCTGGGAAGTTTATAATATTAGGGTTCTAAATCCCTGGTTCCTGTGGGGTGAGTGGGGGGACACGTGTGTGCACAAACATGCGTGTGTGTGCATGTGTATTCAGAAGGGAGAATTAATCAACAATGCTTGGAAGGTCTCCAAGACGCTAACGAGTTGAGGTTGATTTCCATTAACAAGCCTCCCTTTTGGGGTTTGTAACTGTTGACATCCTAGTATGAAATAGGCTGATCTGGTGTTCTGGCGCCAGGGCGGCGCTGAGTGGGGAAAGCGAGGGAGGAGAGAGTGGTTTTTGTGTGTATTTGAGGAACAGGTTACTTGAGCTGGGGTCATGTGGGGAGCTCAGACAGGGTTGAAGAATCCAGGAGGAGAGGTGGAAGGAGAGACATGATGATGAGCCTGCTTTGTAGCTCACTCTGCCCTCTGTGTGTGCTGGCTACTCTCATCCCCGGGAACTGCATTCCTTCTCAGTGCCTTAGATTGTGAACTCAGCGTTGCCATTTTAAGCCATCCATTCCTGGCCAGGGAAGCTCTCAAGGAGACACCAGGCTACCTAGAGTCCATCAAATCCATAAAAACAGGAGGGGTGGGGGCTTCTGTGTTTGTTGCATTGAGGGTAAACTTTTCTGAGAAAGAGCATTAACATATGGCTCAGGTGAGAAGACAGAAGGGGAGGGGAGGACATCAGGTTAGCTCACACTGAGCTCCCGCTGAGAATGACAGAAGGCTGTGATGCACGTTTTATAGAGAGGGATTCCGTAGCTCTTCCCCAAACCCTGAGGAGTAAGTACCAAAAATCCCTTTTTTGGGCAACTCAGCTTGGCCATCAGGAAACATGAGGGTCTCACCAGGGTCCTGACTGTGTTGCCATTCTCTGTGGCTTGAGTCCTGCCCTTGCCACTAAGTTGCTCTGTGATTTCAGGCAAGTTACCTGTCTCTAGGTGGCCCCATGTCCTTATCTGAGCAATAAAGAGACTAGACCGTGTGCTACTCGAGTCATTTGGGGCTGAAGTTTGCAAATTGCATGTACACAGAACAGTGTATGTGTAAAATAGAGAAGCCAGACATACTGAATTAGAGCCTCTTAGCATGTAAGAGAAAACGGCGTTTTTTTGGTTGTTGTTGTTACATCCAGATTGATTAATTTAGAATCAGGCATTACATTCCATTTTATTTTTTGCTTATAAATTTCCTACGACGTGGCTCAAGGGGTAGATTGGGTCTGCAGTAAATACAGTCCACAAGCAATGGGGGCCTTGCTTGTATTCTGTATTTCTTTTGTCTTTTTTCTTTTTTTTTTTTTTTTAAGATTTTATCTATTCATTTGACAGAGATCACAAGTAGGCAGAGAGGCAGGCAGAGAGAAAGGAAGGGAAGCAGTCTCCCTCCCAGGTTGGGGCTCGATCACAGGACCCTGAGATCATGACCTGAGCCGAAGGCAGAGGCTTTAACCCACTGAGCCACCCAGGCGCCCCTTGTATTCTGTATTTCTAACTGAAAGTACAAAGTGCTAGTCTTGGATCTGGGTAGTTACTAAGGAATTAGAAGTTGTGTTTGTTTATCCCCCACGGGCAGAAGCTTCCTTGCTATTTTTCTCTCCCAGTTTAAATCGAAGGACTGAATGTAAATTATTTATGTTGGAACGTTTTCCCATAAACTTTGTTTCATGCTATGAATGTGTTCCTGAAAAGTCAAATGTTTGTATAAATTGAATCATATTTTAGGAGTGCTTGCTATTTGTAGGAGCTATTTTGAATTTAACAAAACTTTACTAAAATAAATGTCTTCGATTCCTGTAAATTTTTATTTTCTCACACTTCATCTGTCAATATCTGTTATCTTATGTCCTCAATTCCTTTTCTTTAATATCCAAAGAAAGTGGCTTACATTCCTCATTCCTTAAACCCTGCCAAGCTCATTGCTTTCCTTCAAGATTCTAGAGTGATGTTGTCCAAATGGAAATATGGTGCAAACCACATATGTAATTCTAAATTTTTTAATAGCTAGAGTTAAAAGATATAAAGGGGTGGGTGCAATTAATTTTATAATGTCTTTCATCTGTGTATACCCCAAATATTATCATTTCAACATGTAATTCTTGTAAAAATTATTGAGATATTTGACATTTTTTTTTCGTACTCTCTTAATAGCACATCTCAGGTTGGACTGGTCACAGTTCAAGTATTCAAAAGCCCTTCGTAGGGGCGTAGGGGTGCCTGGGTGGCTCAGTCAGTTAAGTGTCTGACCCTTAATTTGGCTCAGGTCATGATCCCAGGGTCGTGAGATCAAGCACCACGTCAGGCTCTATGCTCATCAGGAAGTCTGCTTAACTTTCTCTCTCTCCCTCTCCCTCTGCTCCTAACGCTGCTTGCGTGCTCTCTCTCTCTCTCTCTAAAATAAATAAATAATTTTTTTTTTTTAAAAAAGCCCTTTGTAATTAGTGGTTCCAGTATGGGACAACACCGTTCTAGAGAGTCCTTGAGGTTTTTTTTTTTTTTTTCTTTTAAAGAGTTTATTTATTAGAGAGAATATGAGTTGGGGGCAGAGGAAGAGGGAAAAGCAGTCTCCCTGCTGAGCAAGGACCCTGATGGGGGCTCGATTCCAGGACCCCGAGATGGTGAAGGCAGATGCTTAACTGACCGAGCCACCCAGGCGCCCTGAGAGTCCTTGAGGCTTGCATTCTCGTGGCCCGTCTTGCTCCACATTCTTTCCAGTGCCAAATTCTTGGCTTCTCTTTGTGAATGCTTCTCCTTGTGCATTGCTTCACCCCATTTATTTCTCCCAAATCCCGTGAACACAAGGCAGCTGTTCTCAGCAGATTCTACTGAAAGTTTGTGATAATGGAGGGAAGTTATAGCAGAGGCAATAACTGTCCTAATATTGTTGTCTGAAGAGGCAACAACTGTCCTAATATTTTCAGGCCATGACCAGAATAAGAAGCTTCTCATTGGCCAGGGTCATTTTTTTCTTTCTTTCTTTTCAATAATAGGCTTTAATTTTTTGTGCAGTTTTAGGTTTACAGAAAAAGTGAACAGAAAGTACAGAGCTGGGCCATTTCTCATACGTATTCAGAACCTCCACCTGCCACCATCTTCATAGGTCTTCCTCTCTCTACAAAGACCCTTCTCCCCTCTCTCCCCAGGACCTCAATTTCCTGCTCCCTTGCTGTCCTGACTCTAAATTTTCATAGAGTCTCTACCTTTTATGAATCCATTAGGATAGTTTCCCAGAGGAAACAGAAGTCTTCTCCTTGAGGTGCTGTAGTCCTCTTAGCGCACACGGCCCGGACTGCAGCTCAGTCTGAAAACAACACTTTTGTTTTCTGCTTGTTCCCTCTAACGCACAGGCATTATGTCCAGATAGTGAGAAAATATCCTGGGAGACAGGATTTGGGGTGGAGAGCAATTGCTAGAACAAGCCTAGGCTTTGGGGCAAGAGCTGGCCAAGTACAGAGGAAGAACATTCAGGTTCTGACTCAGATTTCAGGGCCAGACAGAGTTTCTCCCTCAAATTCTCTCCCCTGCCTCCCTCCCTATCCTCCTTCACTCATACACCTTGTTGCCAAAGCCTCACAGTTCTTGAGTGGAACCAGAGACTACTTCCCACAATTAGAAAGAACATCCTAAAATCCAGACACCTAGGGGAATAAAAAGCAGAGATGAACTCTTTAACTAGGAAAGGGTTTTGAAAGGAGAGGGACAAAGAGTCCAGCAGACATCTTCCATGAGAACCTGACATGTATCAAGGTAGGAAAGGGTTGCTTTGTAGGAACCTAGAGTCAGAGCACAGACTTAAACCAGGGATCGGTCCCTGAGTCACAGGACCCAGGGGTGGTGAGCAGGAATTTCGTTGGTGAGCTCATCTCCCTAAAATGTCTGCAATCTTGGGATTTGATGGTGTAGGAGTTATTTACCCAATTAGTAAATGTTAATTGGACACATACTCCTTGTGGGATATTATGCCAAGTTCGAAGAATAGGAAGAGACAGGATGCCATGTTTGTCCTCAAAGGACCCATAGGTTATTGGAGAGACATTTAAATAAACAACATTCGTGATCTTGAGTAATAAGCACAGCGATGGAGACGTCAATAGGACGCTGACCCGAGGCAGGGGGACTCCTTGGGGAGATAGAAGCATCGTCCGGGTACAAATAATGGAAGGTCTCAGCAAGCGTGATAGAGAATCAGAGGCAGATCTAAGAGCCATTTAAAGTTAAGGTTGATAGGATTTGGTGACCGTATGTGAGCAATGGAGAGGATGCAGGTTTCCAGTTGGCCTGCCTGTGTGGACAGATGGTTGCCACACACTAAGGAAGAGTGAGAGCCCTGCATGGGGTCGTTCCGGGCGGAGAGTTCAGCTTGGGATACGTCGAGGCTGAAGACACATGGTGCATTTGGAATCCCATAGGCTTAACACTCAAGAGACGGATCCTGGTCTGTGTTGGGAAGAAGGGTGATTTTTAATTTTTTTTTCTTATTAAGTAAACTCTACCCCCACCCTGGGACTCGAACTCACAATCCTGAGGTCAGAAATCGCATGCTCTACCAACTGAGCCAGCCAGGCACCCCAGAAAGAAGGATCTGAAAGTGTTTTGGCGTCTAGATAGCGGTTGAAGCCGGATGATGGTGTGTGACATTGCTCTAGGAAAGGACA